TAGACTAGACTAGACTAGACTAGACTAGACTACACTACATACATACATACATTACAAACATACATACATACATACATACATTACATACATTACATACATTACATTACATTACATTACATTACATTACATTACGTTACAAACATACATACATACATTACATACATTACATACATTACATACATTACATTACATTACATTACATCACATTGCATTACATATATTACATACATTACATACATTACATACATTACATTACATTACATTACATACCGTTACATTACATACCATTACATTACATCACATTACATACATACATCACATTACATTACATTACATTACATTTCATTACATTACGTTACATTACATTACAATACATTACATTACATACGTACATACATACATACATTACATACATACATACATACATACATACATACATACATACATACATACATACACACATACATACATATATTTTTAAATACATACATATATTTTAAATACACATTTTAGTTTAAACATCCACAAATACATTTACATATACATATACATATATATATATACATATATATATATATTTATTTATTTAGATTTATATTTTTTCACACGTGGAACACATGAAATGTTTTGACACAACCGTTCTGGCCCCAAATGGCGCGGCCAAATTTTGAAACCGCGCCTTGGAGCCAAGCCATTCGCAACCTCGTTGCTGATGAACGGGATGAGCTGTTTGATCCTTGTGGGCGAGTTGGACTGCATGCTGATGCATGTAGATTGTGTCCGAAACAGGCTAAAAAACATCGCAAGACTAGGCCAAACGCACTGCATCCAATTTCTGTCAGGTAAGCTTTGGCGTAAGGGTTCAAAAAGGATTCAATGAGTCAATAATGAGGATTCAAACGTTTCAAACATTGAATCAATAAGGCAATTGATTGACGTCTGCCGATCTGCCCGTGTGCTTAGAGGATGACAGTTTCATCGACTCGCTGTCACGCGAATTGGAAATTCTTGCAGCCTCCAGCTCCTCGAGGTAAAAGCCAAGGCATTGAAGAAAAACACGTTTCTTGTTTGGATATGTTTGTTTATGTTATACGTCCACGATGCGTCTATTTTACATATATTAACATCACCATTGTTGTTATGTTTCTTATATGATCTTCTTATTCTTCTATTACATATCTATGATTCATCTCTTATGCATGCATTGTACATCTATCATACATGTATCACATATCTGTTCTGCATCTATTTTACATCTATGGTACCTCATGATGGTTGAGGTTCGTTTCTAGAAAGCCAAATGGATATAATCTTTTCTCGCATACTGCCCAAATAAGCTCTTTTTGGTATTCCGAGACTTTGAATGTCGCACAACTTGGCATAACTTACAATTAGTTTTGAGTTTGGGCGATTTTGCCCAAAAAAAATAACTCGTACCCTTCCAGCACTCCTTTCCCTTCTCTTCTGAGGCAGCACTGATGTGAAATTGATAGTACCTGGGGCCAGGATCGTGTGATGTCTCTATTTATCAATGACGCAGCAGTGTGTGCATGTGCGTGCGCGGGTGTGTGTGTGTGTGAGTTTGTGGGTGTTAAAAAATCTCTGACATGCATACTTTGTAGCTGTCACTTCCCTAACAAGGTTTAGGAGCCAATCGTATCAACTCACACAACATGCTTAGTAGCTCCGCAGACAACATGCATACAAAATGATCACATCCTTCATTTACTCATATTATATATATTATATATATTTGGGCGTGGAATTGATACCCCACATCTTTGTGTGAGTTCTTGTTTTTGGTTGTGCACTCCCGCCTGCCTCCTCGTGCCTCCTCCCGCCGCCGTCTCTCACACACAACTTACCCACACACAACTTACTCACACACACAACTTACTCGCACACAACTCTCACACACACACAACTTACACACAACTCACTCACACAAAACTCAACACAACTTACGCACACACACAAACACACCTATACCCACACACAACTTTCTCACACACAACTTAGCCACACACACACAACTTACTCACACACAACTTACTCACACGCAACTCTCGCACACACAACTTACTCGCACAACTTACTCAGACACAACTCTCACACTAGAACAGAACTGGATCATTTGAGTGATCCGTTGGGAACTGAATCCCTTTAACGTGCAACAAAATATGATATCCGAGCCTAAGTAGTCCTCCAAGAAGTAATATCAAATCACCAAGATGAAATACCGAACATCTGGACGAAGACAATGTCAATGTTCCAAAAGCATCAGTAACCGGGTGAGGCTCCATGTAACACCGAACATCTCAAAGAAGACGATGTCAATGTTCCATCAACAGAAAAAAACCCAAATTCCATGTAAACAAAGTTTGAAAAGATGTCGAAAGGAATCGCAGATCTGCCCAGGGGTTCTTGGCTTAGCCCCGTGCCATGTCTGTCAAAAACTGGAATGACGAAAATGCAGGTACACCAGGGTGATCAGCCCCGG